CTGTGACAGGAGGCATACGTCATTTGAAAAAAACTTCTCAGGTGTTCCCTCATCCAATCTGTTCTGTTGAGCTGGAGAGCATCTAAGGGGAGAGACATCCCTGTCACCCAGCACAGCACTGGACACCTCACAGGTACCTGTCACACGTTGGATGATGTGGGGACATTGGATACTAGGGCAAGAAGCTTGTTCCTCCTTCAGTAGACAATGAGCAGGCATTTAGTGTTGAGTTGGAGCTCAACATCGCTCTGAGTGTAATCAGAGTAATGCATTAAGAGACTCCTGTGTGATCAGTGATGTGTGCATCAGACTGGAGGAGAGAGGGATTACATATGTCGTGAATCCTGGACAAAAGATTGCAGAAATTACTAAGGATATGGGGCTATCAGTAAAACTGCCCCGAGCAATGTTCAGGCACCAACTTGAAGCACAAAGTTTTTATATGGGGCCCCAGGGGAAGGACCTCCCAGGTCATCTCCAAGCTTGTAGGTGGCATAGCGTCCCAGTGTTCTTCAGCCAGATATCAAACTCTTCTGTCTGATAGAGTTAGGCTGGTTCTGGATCTGGAGGTCCAGATGGGAGTGGATCGGGGCTATGCGTCTGGGAAAGTGCTCCTAGACCCAGTTTAGTCTGGAGTAGGGCTGTCCATAGAAGGGGACCCATTCTGGAACACATCGAATTCCTGACTGACCCATTTCTGACTTACTGTAATGCTCGGTATTAACAACAAAATTCTAGGCAAGAGTGAATGTACCAACACATGCAGAGCATTCATTAAGTCAGAATTTTAGAAAAGGCGAAACTGTCTTTCAGGCTCAATTTATTTCTACCAATTTGTTTTGTCTGATTACAACGTGCACTTAGAAGATACTTGTCCTGCACTTTCCATTCTCCATTCTCCTTTTAGCCTTTGTCAGTAACCTTGTGGGCTCTCCACAGGTATTTCCATTTGTAATCCATTTGACACAGCCAGACTATCATAATTAATGAAGCTCCCGACAGCACTGTCACTGACCCAGAATGTAGAACAGAGGAGCCGCTGAAGCCACGGAGAGAACAGTGGGCTGGGCGCCAGGAGGTCTGGACACTGTCTGGAGGATGAGGGTGGCTCGCTGTTCTTTATGCACCTCCTTGCCTCCGCTTTTTAACCAGAATGGTGGTAAAGGAAGGCCCTGTCTGAAATGAAGGCCTCAGCCACTAATCATTGAAATTCCTGCTCTTGCCCACTTTCCTTTATTTGCCACTGAAATCAATTTGAAGTCACCTGTTAAGTCAACTTTTGGTTGTGGTAGGAAGGGGAGGAGATCTGATTAAATCTCTAAAAGCAGAGACAGCTGCGGGGCAGTTCCTGACTGGGGGGGGGTAGAGCCCAGAGAACTGAGGGCCCCAGGTTTTAGGGGCGGCTTCCCAGCACCTGCCCCACGGAATTTTCACGTGACCACACCTGAGGAAGAAAAAACGGGACAAGAAGCAGTATCTTTTCCCTTCTTTCTCTCTGCTTCACACACACACATAAATGACATGAGAGAAAGAAAATAAAAAGACAGAAAGAAAACAGATGTCTTTCTGTAATGGTTTTATCCAGTTAGTATTGTTTTCACCCTAAGGCCCTATGGAGAAGAACTGGAATACGTTTTTCTACATGGCACCCCAGACCACCTCCAGCACGTGTTAACCTGGACCTGCATAAGACACAAACCACCTGGACAGAATTCCAGGAAGGTCATGGGGAAGTCCCTGTGGTTTAGCTCAGTACAAGCAGCCAGGGACAGGAATCTGGCCGATTTGTTCATTGACGTGGCACCATATGCGATTGCTAAAAAGTGTTCCCAGCTCTGGAGACCTGCTCTCCTCCCCTCTGGCCTTCTCGGACCCTTGTCCAGACTCACACCCCTCTTCTCCACCGGTCAGCTCACAGTGACGCGATGCTGTGAGTGTTCACCACACACGCAGAGAACAGAGATGCATCTTCACATGCTAAGGGGTCCCATTTCTCCCACAAATGAAGAAACCTGACTTACCCACAAGACTTCACCTCGATTTCTTTTTATTATTATTTTAAAATCCTACTGCGTCACTGACTCCTAAAGAAGTCCCTGCCTCTCATGGCTTTTGCCTTTTACTTCCCCAAATAGATTCAGGGTTCATGTCCTGGGTATCACTTAATTACTACTATTATATTTAAAATCAGCCCTGGCTGGTGTGGCTCAGCAGATTGAGTGCCCAGCTGCAAAGGAAAGGGTCACCGGTTCAATTCCTAGTGAGGCACATGTCTGGGTTGCGGGCCAGGTCCCCAGTGGAGGGTGCACGAGAGGCAACTATGCATTGATGTTTCCCTCCCTCTCTTTCTCCCTCCTTCCCCTCTCTAAAAATAAATAAAATCTTAAAAAATAAAATAAAATTATTTTTGTTTATAAAAACAATATAGTTACAAAATTTCTTATACTTTTTATGATTATAAACAATGTCCTAAGTAAAATGAAAAATTTTTCCCATTAATGCATTGTTTAAAAACTGCCGGAGGACTTTTCACTGAAAGTAGAGGGACTAGTGGGATGCGCTGATTTAGAAGAGGGGCTCCACGGCATGCAGGAAAGTCAGACTGGGGCACCCGGGGCTGTCACCCTCCGGGGCAGCTGAACATGACGTACGGCCAGAGGCCCATGTGCTGTCGATGGCAGTAAGCTTGCCAAACACTTTAGGAAGCTGAGGACAGCTTCAGACATGACCCCAGACCCAGAGTCTTGGGGGTCCATGTTCTAAATGGCAGGACACTACATACATAGTCAGTGGCAGAAGGGATTGTTCTTTTCCATGATGGTTTGGCATATTCCTGAGCTGGGTTGGGTGGGCCAGCCAGTAAATAATAGTAACAATCATAACTGCAGCAACAATATAGTAAAGCATTTGTTGAACGTTTGCTTTCCGTAAGGTCGCTAATAGATATATGGCATGCATTCCATCATTTAACCCTCATAACAACTCTCTTTGAGTTACCTGATACATTGCCTCACCTGCCTCTTATTTTCTGACACCACATCCATCCCAACTGGCTCAAGCCACACTGCTCCTCGGTCTCTACGCCTGGTGTTCTCACTTCCACCTCCCCACCTGCTGCCATGCTGCTCCCTGAGCCAACAGGCACTGCATCTCCGATGCCAAATCCTCTCCCTCCTAGCTCAGAGGCAGGCCGTACCCTGTGTACCCTCCCACCCAGGCTTTGCTCAGTGAAAACACAGGAGGTTTTTTTTTTACCTTTAAAAATCCTTTCCCTGCCCTCTAGTTACCACTCTCTGAAGCAGATGCTGCACTTAAGGTTGTTCTGGCCATGTGTGTGTGCTTAGTGAGAGCGGTTATTATTGTCCTTTGTACATAGCTTCAGACCCTGGGGCTGCAAAGTTGGATGCAGATTTAACAATGTTTATGGCCAGTGTTGCTCTACTATGCCCCAGGCAGTGCTCTGGGTCCTGGAGAGATGGTCATTAATAGAAGGATAAGTAGTAGGAGCTTAGAGCCACCTCTCACAGCCCTTCCCTTTCCATGTTAGAGTGCATTCCCCTGCAGGACAGTTCTGGGGAAGGACAGCCTGGAATCACCTCCCAGCCTTTCCACTTATAGTCTGTGTGGCCTTGATCCAGTTACTTAACCTCTCTCTGCTTTGGTTTTCTGTAAACTGGGAAATATTAATAGCATTTCTCTCAAATGTGTTATTAGAATTAAATAAGTTAAAAGAGTTAATAATCTACAGTATTTAGGATAGTAGCTGTGATACTGTGATTTATAATAAATATATATTGGATCTTTCTCCTAAAACCCTCAGCACTGCCTAAGTGCTGAGAGCTATAAAGGCATCTCGTTATGATATGAGGTGACTTTTGGAAAGCACCTAAGAATGGGGGCTGGTTGGAACCTTGCGTCCCAACCCATGACCTCCTGAGAGAGAAGAAAGGATGGAGATTGATTTCAATAAACTGATGACCAATGACTTACTTAATCATGCCTGTAATAAAGCCTCCATAAAAACCCAAAAGGACAGGGCTCCAAGAACTTCCAGGTTGGTGAACATGGGGAGATTTGGGGAGAGATGGAAGCTCCAGGCCCATTCCCCACCCCTTGTCTTGTGTATCTTGTCTATCTGGCTATTTCCTGAGTTGTATCTTTTTATAATAAACCAGGGATCTTGCTAGTGAAAGTTTTCTCTGAGTTCTGTGAGTCATTCTAGCAATCTAATCAAACCCATGAAGGGAGTCATTGGAACCTCCAATCTATAGTCTGCTGATCAGAAGCACAGGAGACAACCGTGAAATTACCACTGTCCTCCAAAGCATGTGGGGGGAGGGGCAGTCTTTGGGACAGAGCCCTTAACTTGTGGGATCTGATTTTATATCAGGTGGTATCGGAGTTGGGTTGAATTGTAGGACACTCAGCTGGCACGCGAGAGTTGTTTGGTGGTATGGAGACCACATCACAGGTGGGTGTGGAATCATAGCGGCACTGTGAGTTCTCAATACATGTTCATTATTATGATTACTTCTTTAGCTAATTAAATGTCTAGAAAGCAGAGATCTTCCTTTGCAAGTATTCTTGAGTCTCCCCCACTTGGATGTAAACTTCTTAAAGGCAAGGGGCAAGCCTTCAGACCTTTCGTGTTTGCCATACTTGGCACAGCTCGGGCCGTGAGTAGATGCTCTTGACTGACAGGGCCAGAGGAGAAAGTGTCTGTTTTGAGGTCAGGGTACACCTGGGCTATCCTCAGGCAAAACTGTGTTCACCTGAGAGATTCCATTCTCATGGTCATATATATATATATATATATATATATATATATATATATATATATATATATTTTTTTTTTTTTAGGAAAGACAAATGTATACTCGGTGCTTTCTGTTGTTTGTGCAAAAGCCCAAAACTTGCTTTAATTTCTCTAGAAACAAGTCCCAGGGTTTTTATGTTAAGAAAGAACATCATTTGCCTCAAAAAGAAATGACATGACTCACCTTGATTTTTCAGTGGTAAAGGCATAGTTTCCCTGAGTTTGCTTAAAAGGTTTTTCATTTCTCTCATGTCTCTGTGAAATTGATCAAAAGGAAAAATCGTCAGCTGTAAATTTCTGAAACGCCATCTCGTACAGTCTGTTCCATGAGACAACTGAAGGACAAGAGTCTGTGCTTCATAGTACTAGCCCTGATTTGCAGCAGGCAAAAACGGCATCTACTTTACTGTTATAATGGAAAGAAATCTGAGACGGGCTGGCTCTGGGAGGAGAGAGCACTACCCTGGCAGGCGTTTCCACGGGGCGTTCTGGGGGAGGCGCCCTCCTCGCTGCCGTCAGTTGGGCCCGGCAGAGATCGGAGAAGAGCCTCCAGTCCTGAGGGCAGGACTTCAGATTTCCAAGGGGAGGTGAAGGACACACAACTAGAATGGTGGGGTTACCCTGGGCAAGGCTGAGGCCGGGTGACGGTCAGACGGCCGTTGTGGTTGTACAGGTCCACTCGCTGTTGTCTCTCTTTATCACGATGGAAGTTCTGTGTGACACCAATGTTAAGAATTCCTGAGGGCCAACACTTATCAAACCGATTTGGAATGATGGGAGAGTGTGACAAATTCTACAACTGTCAGAGAAGAGCTTTTCACAGTGGGTGGAACAGAGAAAGAGAGAGCCTGGGGGCAGGGTGCAGCCGGGTCTTCCTCTAGACCCCGCAGGCACGTCTGACACCGCACCCACCCTCATCCCAGAGCACATCTGGTCACGAAGCCCCTGAGTCGAAGAGTGGGAGGCCATCAACTCAGTAGCAGGAGGCAACTGGACTTTTCAAGTCTTTGCGACAGGGGTTCCCCAAATGTTCAACAGTGGTTATCCAGGGGAGTCAGCACTCTTGGAATCCCAAGATATGGTGGTAGATTTCATTTGAAAAAGAAAAACTAGGCCCTGGCTGGTGTAGCTCAGTGGATTGAGCTCGGGTCTGCGAACCAGACAATCGAGGTTCGATTCCCAGTCAGGGCACATGCCTGGGTTGTAGGCCAGTTCCCTGCAGGCCAGTTCCCAGCAGGGGACATACAAAAGGCAACCATACATTGATGTTTCTCTTCCTCTCTCCTTCCCTTCCCCCCTAAAGATAAATAAATAAAATCTTTTAAAAAAAGCAAAAATCAGATATATCTTTTAGTTAACTCTAGAATAGTCAAGAAATATCAGGCACCCAGGGTTTAAGAAAATTTGGGGGCAGGGTAGATAATCATAAAACTGAGAATATTCTATCTATTTTCCTTCTGCCATTTGAGGAAACAGAGATATCATATAATTTTAGGTCTGAAATCACTCAGTCCGTTTCATAAAACACAACTGTTTTGTTGAGCACAGTTTGAGGACCACTTGTCTTAGGGAGGCCGAATCCCCCTGGGGTCCGCTCGTCAAGTAGTGACTAGTATGTGACGTGCAGGGGACAGCAGCCTTGTGGATCTGTATAAACATATCTGTAAAAAATGCAGAACACTTTCCATAGGTGTAAGGGTGTGTCCATGTGCTACTGCGTGCTGATCAGCCCCAAAGGGTATTTCTAGAAAGAGAAGTGGGGGAGAGGGAGACGGAGGACAGGGCCCTACGTCCAGGCACCTTCTGTTTTCCTGTAAAATCCCCAAGAGTAGATGGAGTGGGTGGGTGGTGGGCAGGCGCACAGCGGGAAGGGGCTCGTCATGCTGTATGTGAGAGCGAGGCCTGGTCTCCTCGGAGAGCACCAGTTCTCAGCCCCGGCTGCTGCACCAGAGAACCACCTGATGCCGAGCCCTACGCCACGAAAGCCTGATTTGGCTGGTTTATGGTGGGGCTCAGTCATCAACGTTTTTAAAAAGTCCTCCTGGTGATTTTGATGAAAAGCCCAGTTTGAGAGCCACTGGTCTCTTAGGGCGGTGAAACAGGGCAACCGAGGAAGCCACCCTCCCAGACAGGTCTGTGTGTCTGCTTCTCCCAGTCATTCCACCTCCAACAGCCTGAATCCAGCAGGCTTTCGAGCAGAACGGAGACACTGCCAGTACCATGGGCTATGCTCTCCCGTTCTTATTGCCAGCCATAGCTTGCTTTCTGCAAGCTCACAGGGCTTGGATATAGCATCTCTGCAAGGCTTCTGAAAAGGAAAAAAGGCTTTGCTGATGGATTATGCCCTGACCATGGTACTCCAGCAGATGTTTCTTCCTGGGAATAGAGCAAAGCACTTTCCATTTTATAAATTGAGATAAATCACTCCCTCATCATTTGTCTATAGTTCTATCAAACTGCGCCAAACAGCTTTATTGTTTGAATGTTGGATTTCCACGCTTATACAAAATCCAAGTTTTATTAATAGCACATAATTACCACATGCTTCAATTTTCTATAAACACAGAAATTCGGTAATTAGCTTTAGAATTATATTACAATCTGAAAGTAGAACCACGATGGCTATAAATGCCCTCGTGTGTTACTTTTCTAAAAATAAAAAAATAAAATGTTCATTATCTTGTCAGTGACTCAAACCCCACTCACAGAGCACTCAGTGGCATTGCCCGGCATTCATTCATCTGCTTTGTGCCGGCGCTGGGGACATTAGTAGCAAAGGACAAGATATCATCAGTGCGAAGACCAATAAACAAGGACCTTGCCTTTCTGCCTTAAAGAGTGGAATTTTTAGCATCCAGATGAAACACAGCACTTACTGTTATATTATCATTGCACCCTCTCCTCAAGTGAACCAGAATCACTGTAGAATCTCTTCTCCCGGGGAAGAAAGCAGCAGCAGAGCGACTGCTTGCTAAGGCAAATGCATTCACTTAATCTGACCACTAGAGGGCAGGCAGCTACATTCCGCGAGAATAAGAGAACGGAGTCTTGCAGAAAGCTGTTCATGAACTAGACTGAATTGAATGCTCAGCCCCTGACTGGCAGCCAAGCAGGCCAGTCCATACATCTAAAATCCAAGAATCTTTGGGAGACATCTTGGCGCGATTCGGGGACCCAGCCCACGCAGTGGACTGTGATGTGTGCAGAGCACTTCGCTTCCATGGAAATGCAATGCGGTGGAGTGGGATGAGCCCTGGCCTGGAGCCTGCCTCCACCCGAGTTTCTGCCACCGTTCCATTGCAGGATTTGGACCCCTTCCCTTCCCTTGAGTCAGTGTTCTAAGAGCTCTGTTTCTGACTCTGAAAGGGAACATCTAGACTCTATGTGGTCCCGAGGAGTATGAAGTGGAGGAGGAGTAAGGTAGTCTATTTAGGGCGACTTCCCACTTACCTTTCAGTATTCTCAATGTCTGTGGAAACCTGCCAGGATTGTTGCTGAATATCTACGGGGGAAGATGAGGAGTCCTCCAGAGCAGGCGCTTCAGCACTCTCCTCAATTCTGCAATCCGGACTCTTGGTTCCCCCACCAGCCTCCTTTCCTAAGGGGCAGGGAGGTGGGGATGGGGGTGGGGATATTGGTAAAGAGAAGATAAGAAATGATAATGCAGTTGTACACCTAAGATGTCATTACAAAGCTTGGCTATGCTTTGAAGCAAGTGCTCCATTAACACAAGTTTCTGAATACTAAAATAATTAATATATAAAAATAAGTGTGTGTGTGGTATGCTTTCACAACATTCTGGGAAAGACAGTTTGTGGTGGATGCAATTTGAAGATTAAGATAAAAGCAAAGGTCCTGTCTTTGATGGAGTGTTGGTGCTTCGTGAGTTAGAACGGGTTAGCTTCGGAGGGGGGACTCAGCCTGTGGAATCAGGCTGCTTTTTGGTCCGCAGATTCAGGGGCAGGTAAGAGGCCCAGGCACTCGTGACACCCAGCAGGAAGAAAGGGAGCTCCTGTCAGTCTCACTCACTAGCTCTTTTTGCCTGTGGGAAGTGGCAGAGATCATGGACCTGCCTTCCATTTCCTTGGCTCTCCAACCTCCTGAGGTGTCTCCTTCTATGAGGAGTGAGCCCAGCATCAAGAGCCAGGCTCATTCTGCTAAGACCATAAAGCCCCATCAACTAAGGGGCCCTGTACTGGGGAGCCGTTCACAGTACCATACTGTCAATCCACTAAGACTTACTGTGACTGATCTTAAGTGAATAAATCAACTCTGTGGAATCAAATCTCCAAGTTGGTTCAGCCGTAATTTACATGAAAGTAAGTAGAAATTATATTCTGGGGACCAGGTATCCTCTGTTAATGTCTATTTCTGCCTTGAACATTTACATACTCAAAGGTGGATATCTTGACCATTGGGATGGCCTGTGTGGCTGGAGAACTGGGTTTTGAACCTGCCTTTGTTATTCATTCATTCACTCACTCACTCATTCAGTCATTCACTTGCAAATCTTTTTGAGTGTCAGCTAAATATCAGGTGTTGGTCTTGATGTTAGAGATATAAAAGTGAAAGACATACCTTTTTTTCCCTTTTAATCCTCACCTGAGGATCTGTTTATTGATTTGAGAGAGTGAGGAAGGGGGAGGAACACTGATGTGAGAGAGAAACTTCAGTTGCCTCTAGTCCATGCCCCGGGGACCAAATCCACAACCTAGGTGTGTGCCCTGGCTGGGAATCAAACCTGCAAGCCTTTGGTGTACAGGATGAGGCTCCAACAAACTGAGCCACCCAGACAGGGTGAAAGACACAGTCTTTGTCTTATGGTTAAAGTGCTGGAGATAGACAATATTAAAATTTACACAAATAATCACAAAGCTGTTGTATAATATTGTGTGGTCTGCAAAAAGGGGTAGGTACATATTTTTTTACTCTTTCATCCAATTTTGTTTGCATTATGTAGATACAGCTCTAGACTATTTAGAAAATTGTTACAGCCCATATCACTAACTATTCATGAGATAGCAGCTAGACCAGGTTAGTTTCCCTAATCCTGGTGGGATTGTTTTTGCATGTTTTTAAAAAAGCAAAACAAATAGACAGAAAATAAAACAAACTTGTGCAGAGGATGGCTGTTCACTGTAAAATCTAACAGGAAGCTTTTCCTTTCCATTCTTGATCTGAAGGTAACTAGCAAAAATCTCACCTCCATAATTTGAAAACCATGTGGTAGCAACACAAGCAGAAAGAGACAAGCAATTAAGTGGTAATTAACTGCACACCATTCATCAGCCTACAGGAGAAATGAACCTCTGAATATTCAGCTGGAGCACAAACACAAATTCACTGATGAGAAGTTTTGATCATATTGCGCGTACTTTATGCACATTGATCCCAGGTAATGGAATTGCTTTTCCAATTTTATGGCGTGCTCTTGGGTGGAAATTAATTAAGCACATAATTTAGCATATTACCACTTCACAGTTGGAGGTCATTGACCTCTTAAAAGCATTGGCATTGTGCTTCCTGGGAGGGTGCAGCTAATGCAGTTTGCTTGCCACCCACCTCTGGGCAGCATCGGCTTCAGTGGGATGAGAATCTGAGCAAGGGCTCCTGAGGTCTGAGACAGGGACAAAAGCCGGGGTCCCCCAAAGCACCCTCTGCTTTTCAAAACTGTGAAGAATCGGGCCATCTGAAAGCACACACAGCTCCTGTTATACTCCTGTGGGGTCAAAATGCCTTGGAGAATGGAGGAGGGTTTGGACAGCAAAGAAGATACACACAGATGGAATTCTCTGCTCTGTGGGCTTTGCCTGGCTTTGGGGTCACAACGGCCCCTGTCCTGTGGTCAGGACTACAGAGCCCAAAGGTTTTTTTTCCGAAGCGGGGGGAGGACACAGTGTACTGTTCTTTCTTGGAGTCCCCTCTTTATCTTCCTCAAGTATGCACCTTTTACGACAAAGGCATCAATAGAATACAGTCCATAAGCACTTTGTTTACAGTTACTACCTGTAATAATTCTATTTATAGAAGTCATTTATATAAGCTATTTGTATAGCTTTTTCAAAGTAAAATGACAATTCATGTATTCTTGAAACAAGCCTATGAGCTTGTAATGGCAAGGAATATCCTCCCTTCCCCCTTTTCTCGACCTAGGTCTATGGATGTGGATGAACAAGAATGAAAACCCCAGATGTTAGACTTGCAGTTTAGTACCTGTGTCAGCTCACAAACCCTCTAAAATTTTTAGAATATGATCTTTAAATTTCTGAGTTATGAAATGACTCCTAAATATGTCTAGGGATAGGTTCTTTTTATGGTAATCATTTTTGGCATTTGATTGGCATTTGCAATCTATTTTTTCCCAATTTTTTATTTTGAAAATTAGCAAACCTACAGCAAACTTGCAAGAATGATACAGTAGACACTCAGGTGTTCTAGTTTCACCAATTATGAATGTTTAGCTGTATTTTCTTTTATCATTCAGTCTCAGATATGTGTGTATGTATTGTATACAGGTTTCATATATATTATATTGTTCATATATATTTTATCAATATATTATATTTATCATATATAATTTTAATGTGAAATTATATATTATATATAATTTTTATCAACCCTTTAAGGGTAAGTCGCAGACATTAATGACACTTTATCCTCATTACTTCAATATTATTTCCTAAGGAAAAATATTTTTTACATAACCTGTAAATAATTATTGTGTCAAAAATCTTTAATTAAATATGATTCAATATAATATAAATATTTAATGGTCTATATTAAAATTTTCACGTGTTCCAAGAATATCCTTTATATATTTTTTATTTTTAAAAAATATTTTAGTTATTTATTTTTTAGAGAGAGGAGAAGGGTGGAAGAAAGAGAGGGAGAGAATCATTGTTCCATTTGCCCCCAACCAGGGACCAGCCTGCAACCCAGGCCCGTGCCCTTAACTGGACTAGAACCAGCAACCTGTCAGTCCGCAGGCCAGTGCTCAGTCCACTGAGCCACACCAGCCAGAGTTACAGGGTCTTTTTCACTCAAGGTATCCAGTTAAAAACAATGGACTATGTCTAATTGTTCTCTTTCTTTATTTCCCTTTTATTTAGAACAGCCTTGTCTTTTTTTGTCTTTCATATCATCAATGTTTTTGAAGGAAGAGTCCAGGCCAGTTGTTTTATAGAATGTCTTTCAAACTGGATTTGTCCGGTTTCCACATGTCTAGATTAAGAGTAAATCTTCTGGCAAGAATATTATAGGAGTGACAGTTTGTCCTTAGTGCCTTGTGTCAGACAGCACATGCATCAGCTTGTCCCATTGTTAACGATGTTAGTTAAGTATTAGGGATTGCTCGGAAAAGGGGGTTTCTACCAGCTTCTACCATTGTAGGTGCACCCTTCTCTCTCTCTCTTTTTAAATATTTTATTTATTTATTTTTAGAGAGAGGAGAAGGGAAGGAGAAAGAGAGAAACACCAATGTGTGGCTGCCTCTCACATGGCCTCCATCTGGGGACCTGGCCCGCAACCCAGGCATGTGCCCTGACTGGGAATTGAACTGGCAAACCTTTGGTTTGTAGGCCCATGCTCAATCCACTGAGCTACACAAGCCAGAGCCCCTTTTCTTGTTTTAATTAAGCAATCTATGGAGAAATTCATTGATATGCTATAGCCTTTTCAAGTTAAACCTTTCTTTAGGTTTGATAATTTTTTTTTCTACTTTTCTTGGTTATCTACTTTCTGTTCTCTCTGTTCTTTCAGATTCTTGCTTCATATTGGAGTCTCTGGGCAGTTTCTTAACTATCCCCCCTAGTTCATAGTTATTTGGGGGCTAAATTCTGGGAGGATACCTTGATTTGGTCTTTCAGTTAACTATTTTAGGTTCTCAATATTTCTATTATAAAAATTAAGAACTGTGAAGGGCCTGAGATTTCCCTCTGTTCATAGTTTCGATGGATATTGAGCTGAGGACATGAGACTCCTGGGTCAGAGACAAAGAGACTTTATTACTCACACAATGACAGTAGCCAAAGTATCAGCATTTATGTTGGTTCTTGAATCCTAATTCCCACAGGGGCATCAACATAGGCCAGATCTTATCGGCACAGAGGGGGCTGTGTGACAGAAGAGGAAGCCTGAGCTTCGCAGTTCTGAGGTTTAGAGCACGCCCACCCTTTGCTCTGGAGGGAAACACTTTCACGACACCGAGTAGTAAGCATGCCTGGCTCTGGAGGGAGACACTGTCTCTATTTTCCAAGACATTCAGTAAATAAGCATCCTTGAAAAGACGGTGTCAAACAAGGGGTGCCAGTGCCTCACCTTGCAAGATGGCAGAAACACAAGAGACTAAAGGAGAAGAATTGTCTTCCAAAAATAATTAACCCAGCTACTAAGTTTTATTCATTAGCACTATTTTTATTTCCAATGAATCTGGCTGCTTCCTTCTTGTTGCAGACAATCATTGTTTTATGGGTGTGACAGACTACTAAATCTCTCGGAGAACATTGATTATGTATATTTTAAATTCTTCATCTGTTTCCACTTTAAAATTTCTTCTTCGAGCCCTGGCTGGTGTAGCTCAGTGGACTGAGCGTGGGCCTG